TTTACTGTGCACCCCTAGACCCCACAAAGTTAATAACAGACAAGTGACAAATTCAAATGACACCCACCTAAAATAATTGCTCGAAAACCACTCTCGTCTACAATAAAGGAGATCTTTGTGTTTTACCGTACTCTTGAATAAACAACCTTTGAGTTTGAGTGATATTTCTAATGGGAGTGACTTCTTTAATAAACAAAGCACTTTGGTTGACAGTTCGATTTGAAAATTTTTGTTTTTCTCTACGAACGTGCGAGTAAAAATCTCGAAACGATATATGTAAAATAAACTTGAAACTCGAGAGAGAGATAAATAAACCAAAACTGTTTACGCGTTCATTTTTATTCAGAAAATCACGTGTACAAGTAAGGAATTGACGTCATTTTAATTTTGGCCTTTGGTCATCAATTCCTAAAGCGGGAGTTAATCACGTGACCGGATTAGACGACAAATCAAATTACGTAATAATTTCAAATCTTAGTTTTATATTATCGATACCATTTTATAATTTATAAAATTTAACTACGGATCAGATTTATTTTAAATTCAAGGAGTAGTTACACTTAAATTCAAAAAAAAGTTAATATAAAAATAAACCTTATTTTATTTAAAAAACGCGTTAAAAATCTTAATAGATAAAAGGTGTTTAGATAAAATATAAGCCATAGTTATCATTATACTAACATTCAAATATGCCAGAATTATGATGAAATCATAAATTATACTCCACTTTAAAATTTTGATTTAAACGTATGGAGTTATATTATCTACTAAATTTGTAATTAATTTTACTATATAAACTTGAATTTAACGCCAGTATTTTTAGTGTTATCAAAAAAGGAATTATCATGTCATACTATTCGAAAATCGATTAATTTGTTATAGCTTAATAGCAATTAAAAAAAAGAAAAATTACATCATTTTATAAAAATAAAAAGAAGGTAAACTATAAATCGACAGGATAAAGGTTATTGTCCATTTATCGTTGCTTTTTGATCTCGATTTATTTGATATTGTCTCTTCCTCTCAGCCTTTTCATTTTCTGGGATTTTACGCCACCAATATGAGACTAGTTTGCTATATTTAGTCATTGACATATTAGGTGGTTTCCTTTCCATCATTTCTTTACGATAAGAGATGAACATATTTGGTTCTCTCTTTCGTTTTTTTTCTGAACCTAATGATGTCTCTGGTATAGCAAAAGGGATTATGATTAGGTTATTGCTCATTATTCAATAAATATTTATAGAAATATTATTTGTATACAGGAGATTGATGAAAATTTGCGAGAAATGAAAAATGAAAAATATCTTATTTATTAAATTTTTTAACGGATATTCATTGCCTTTCAACTTCCGAAGCCAAGCACCACATCACTTTTCTCGATGATATTATTACGGAGTTTTGGCTTTATTATGATACCATTTAGTCAATTCAATAATGTTAAACCGTTACAAAGAATACTTTTTAAGAAATCATTCTATTGTGAATATTATCAATCAAATAAAGGAATAAATCATACCAAATAAGATTCTGTATGAAAATTGACGCCACATTGAATGAAACTTTAACATTTTCCTTGTTTTGCATGTTCGTCTAACAATATTAAATTGCTAGCTTATTGTTACCCCCTTATGTTAACACGACATTGTCTCTCAATGAATAAAATTTATGTATGATAGGAAAACGAATCCGAATCCAAAGCATAATCAACATTACTAAGGACGAAATATGATAGTCGGAGTTTGAGAATGCGCGTAGGTACGACGCGTGTTTATCATTTTATGTCAATAACACGACGGTTTCAGACGATTGCATGCTTATTTCTAGAAGTATAAAGTCCTCCACTAGGCTTCAGACAATTAACAAATCATAGTATCATTTAGATTTTTATTAACACGGAGAATCAAAAAAAGCGGAATTAAATGAGCTGAACAAGATTAACACAGTTCACGCATTTATTATCTGAGATAAGGTTGCCGGGCAAAACCTGGAGGTTTCGACAGGCATCGAAATCGAAACCCGTCGAAACGTTTTGCCAAATTTTTTTATTATAGGCAAAATTGCAAAAGTTTCGACGGGTAGCAAAACCATCGAAACCTTCGATATTAAAATGCAGTTTATTATTTTTGTTTTTACGAGATGAGCAAATCGTATATAGCAAAAGGCCAAAAAAATTGAAAAAATTTACATATTGTAATTGACCAATTACTCATTATCTCCCAATTAGTATTTTCTTCATTTAGTCTCATGACAGTATCCCTATCTTCTTCCATTAAACTTTCATTTGAAAAATCATCATCTTCTTCATAAGGTAATTCTTCTAATTCTTCAACAAGTTCCTGTGCTTCCAAATTTACCATCTGCTCGATAAATAATGTATTATTTTGGAAACTTTGTTCTAATTTAAACATCGAAACCGTCGAAACTTTCGAGACCATCGAAACCCATCGAAACCCCGTCGAAACTGTCGAAATAATTTCTGAAAAGTTTCGACTTTTGCCAAAATGGGCTTATGGTTTTGCCCCGCAATTATAATCTGAGAGGTACGAAGTTACAAGTTGCGAAGTTTTTAGTGAGATAAGCTTGATAGCTCTATAGTAAAGCTTTCCATCGTTGCTATATAATGTTTTGTGTTGATTTGTCTATAAAAATTGATTTTCATTGTGCGCAGTAACGTGAAGCCAGAATAATTAGGTAAGAAACCCTTGATACTGATTTTTGCGGTAATTAGGAGTATGATATAACCGCTAATTTCTTCTTGATAATTAGGAAACAAAGCAAAAATCAAACAGAAGGCCGACTATATTTATAGTCTATTCTTCGGTTCACGATGTCGTCAATAACTTTCCGTTTGTGGAAGTGCTATTTTAGATTATGCAAAAGCATATACATCAGTTTTATGGATGAAATTATGTGTGATTTTCTGTATACAGGCAATTTTCGGCAAAATAAAAAAAAAATTTACTAAAAACATATCATTAGTAAAATACAGTAATAATGATAATAATGAGAATCGCACGCAAAAATGATTCAACCTTTGTCGAACCACCAAAATTCACTTACTACATCTAAATATAATTTATGCATTTCCTAAATAAGATGGCTATGCAAAAAAAAAGAATTTATTGATTGGTTAATTATATTAGCCCTGTTCAATTCCGATTTGATGTGTAGATGCACTTGAAACCTTATTATGATCACCTTTTATGTATCAACTATAGTTGGGTTATTTTTTTCTTGGTTAATGTAAAATAAGATTATATAATATTAGAGGACCAGAAGTCGATCAAAGGGAAACCATTACAGAGATTATATTTGGATTTTATACTGTAGGCTTGAAGGTTTTGGAATAATTGAACGATAGTGAAATTTTTTTTATTCAAGGACATTCCGATCGATCAATCGCAAAATATTACTAATAATGATTACAGGATTTTTTATCTAATTTAGTCATAATCTTCAAGGGATGAGTAATCATGTAATTTATTATTGGTAGGTTATGAGCAAATTTTGCCAGCTTATTTACTTTTCTTGATTTACTTTATAAAAAATTATAATTTTTTTTTTTATAAATATATTTATTACAGTCAACTCTTTTTTAAAGCAAATTTTGTTCATGGATCTTTAGTATAGTATGGATTTTGGTATAAAAAATTTTTTTGTTATATCAAATTTTTTAATTAAATAATAATGTTTAATAAAGAATTATATGTATTATAAATCTGCAATCTTTTTGTAATGAATTGTTATAACAAATCTTTTTTTTAATATAATGAAGACTTTTGCAAATAAATTTTTTATAAAGGTAATTGACATAAAAAATTCTCAAATACAGTAACTTTACATATTATCTAAATTTTTATAACAAATATGTTTGTGTTTCATGATTTATAATTATTTCATATTATTTATTTTATACAAAGAAAATAACCCAATAAAAAAGCTTAATAAAGTATCAAAACAGAATAAACTTTTAAAAAAAAACAAAAAACAAATAAATATTTTCTTTAAATAGATGGTGACCTAAATTATCTGACTAATTTGTTTTATCAGAATTATACCAATCATAATGTATATTTTTTAACTTAAGTTATTAGTAATTTTGTTGTATCTACCTTGTATAAATATTTTTTGTAATTGTAATAGAATTTTTAGGAAGATAATACTGCATCACATTATTCAAAGATTGCTATAATTGCATGTGAAAATGCTGAGATTGTAAAGCTTAACTAGCTGGTACAGTTATCAGATCTCAATTCTATTGAGAATATTTAGTTAGAAATAAAGGATAGTTTACTATCATTTATCACCACCATCTAGTATTAGCATATTTATAGAATATAAATACATAGGATAATTTTCTCTTAAATATTATTAAAAATTAATCAATAGTATGCTAATACAATTATTTTCATAAATGAAAATAGAATTAATTATTAAATTTTTGTAAAATTCCATAAAAGAAGATATAATAAATATGTTAAACTTAAATTTTTATTTTAATTTTATAAAAAATATATAAATTTTAATATTGAAAAGTAATTGGATTATTTAAACCATCATTTATATAAAAAAGAAGTTTGTTTAAAAAATAATATCACTTTTTTTAAAATAAAAAAACTTAGCTAATAATATAATATTAATAAAAATATATTTATTGATATTTTAAAGGTAAAAATTTATTAATTTACTATATTTATTAATTTATATCAAACTGGTTCAAAATATGAATAAAAATATTTTCTCTATTACTAAAAAATTATCACTTTTTTAAATAAAAATTACATTTCAAGTTAATTTTATTATTACTTTAATTAAAGCTTTAAAGTGCTTATTTGTATAAAAAAAATAAGTTTAAGTTAAATAGTTAATTAATAATTTTAAAAAGTATTATAATCTAAAACAATATAAAATTCATAAAAAAACAGTTAATGTATTATTTTAAATCTTAAAAAAAATGCATAAAAATCTTCATAAATTTATAAAATTAATGTGACTCATTTAAAAATATATAATAATCAATAAATATTTATTTATTTATAATATAATTAAAAATAAATAATTTTATTTATTATTTATATATAATTATAAAAATTCTTAATAAAAAAACTTTTTTAGTTGATTATTACTAAATTTAATTTTAAATATAAATATCTAAATAAGAAAATAAAATCAAAATATTCTTTTTTTATTTTTAATAAAATTTAATATAAAATTTCAAAAATATTAAGTTTTATATATATAATTTTTATAAAGTCAGAATATTATTTATTTTAATAAAAATTTATACTTAATATAAAAAGTAAAAAAAAAATTATATTCAAAAAATATATGTAAATATATATAGTATTGATCAATCATCTGAGTATCCTGACTGAAACTTGTATGTCCTATATGCCATTGTATCAGAAACAAGTCCTTCTTACTATTTTTCAAGCTAGTCTGAATTGATAAAATATTAGCTATTATAATAAGCTATACAAAGTGAGCATCGCATTTATAATAATAAAAATATCACTTTTTTAAAAAATTTTGATATGAAAATTAGATTTATTATCCATTAAAATTTAAATTCTCAATTAAAAGATAAGTTTAACAATTTACTTTTTTTAATTAGCTCTATAGGTCTATTTAACCTATTTAGTATATTCATTTATCAACCAAATAGGTATTATATTAAATTAATATCAAAAATAATATTATAATATTATAATTCTTATTTATTATTTATTGCAACTGATTTTTATAATATCATAATTAGTTATAAAATTTGTAATGTTTACTTATTATTTATTACAACTAATTAATATGTTATTTTTAGTTAAAATCTACTTAAAATCTTCATAATTATCATATATCACAATATTTAATAAAAGTAAATTAATGTAATAATCAATGCTATTTTTAATTAGATATTATTAATGTAAGTAAAGTTATTCTATTGATACTATATAAATTAATATAATCAATATTAATTTAGATTAAAATATTCATATAATTATATTAATTTAATCAATATAATCAGATTAATGTAATTAATGCAATTCAATCAATTTAATTTTTTATTTTAAAATATATATTTTAATAATAAATTTTTATTTATTTTATAATTATACAATCTATATTCTTTACATACACTACCCTCAAAAAAGTATCTGGTCAAGCTTTTTTTAAATTTTTCAAGATTGGATATATCAACTAAATAAAATTTTTTTTTTAAATAACTTTCCTGATTTTGATGATGATATGCATATGTTTATATTTGTATAATAATGCATAGATCAAGTTTAATATACAAAAACATAAAACAACTTCAATTTCACCTTTTTAAAAATTGCGTCATTCAACATGAAAAAAAAATCGCAAATTAAATGACTTTGAATGCAGACAAATTGTTAGTTTAAAGTTAGCGAAAAAGACTTACAAGACCTTTACACACATTTTAAAGTTTTCAAAAAATACTGTTACAGATGTAATTGTGCAGTATGCTAATTCTAATAATGAATTAAATGCTAAAAGATTCAGATGATCAAATTCTATGAATAAAGGTGGTGAGCTTAGGCAAATTATAAAAAAAAGAATCAGACATTTTTTAATTATTAACGATTTCAATTATTTTAAAAATTTACACTTAAAATTTTAAATAAATTTTTTTTTTTTAGCTGACCAGATACTTTTCTGAGGGTAGTATATAATACAAATATTATTATATATTAAATTTATATACAAATAATATAATGTTAATTATTATTTAGTATTAATTATCTTTATCAATATCATCAGTATTTTTATCATCATTAATTTTTCTAAATAATTTTTCACTTTATAATAATTTTCATTTACAATGCTTAAATTAATTTTTGATCATTAAGATTATTACTATTATGATTAATTATATGAGCTATATTAAGCTAATATTAAATTGAAGATAAATAATTATTTTTTTTATAATATGATACTATTATAAATTTATTAAATTTTAAAAAGTAATATAATATATAAAATAAAGTAAAAATAATAATTATTATTTGTAATCCTATTTTAGTCTGATTTAAATTAACTAATTATCAAAATTTTCCTTCAATAAAATTAAAAAATCTATATATCTAATGATTAAATATTACTAAAAAATTTAAATAAACTGCTAATATCTATTTAAGAAATTAATCTAGAAGAAATCAAATTTAAAAATCAAAAAATTTAATATTTTAAATTATTAATTAATAATATAATTAAACAAATAGTAGATGTTTATAAATCTCTATATTTTTTTTTTTCTTTCTTTTAGAAATAACTTAAGATATTTTAAATTTAATAATATTTTTATAATAACAAATTAAATATTATTATAAAAGTTTAT